GAGACGGGTCGCCCTCGCCCCGGCCCTTGAGGGCGAGGGCTCCGCAGGCTCCCCGAGGACGGCCAGTCCCGGGGCGTTCTGTCGGGTGCCCATTCCAAACCCCTGAGGTCTGCCAGGTGCCTGCCGACCCTCCCCCTCTCGGGGTTGGGGGAGGCCCAGCGCCTGGGTAGGAGGGGGCAGCCCCCAGGCAGACCCCTCCCCAGCGGCCCAGCGCCGGCCCAGGTGGAATTTCGCAGACGCTCCCCCGTGAACGGGGAAGCTCAGGCCGGGCCGGGATGCAGCCGTGAGGTGCGGCGTCCTCCGGGCTCTCCCCGCCAGACGCAGTGCACGTGCCGGCCTCTGCCCGGCTGGGGACCGAGAGGCACGGTGCACCCTCGCCGGACCCGACCGGAGGCTCTGCGTCTTCCCAGGGCAGACGGGCGTCACCCCTCCCAGGAGCCGTCGGGGGAAGGGGAGCACCTCGGGGGGGCAGGTGCGGCCGTGGCGGGGGGGCTCACCGCCTCCGCTGTTGCATTTCCAGACGCCGAGGGCCCCGCGGCCCCGGAGACCACGGCCCAGGAGCAGCTGCTGGGCCCTTCGCGCCGGGTGGCGCCCTCTGGCGGGGACCCGCCCGTGCCCGGGAGGACCCCCGGTGACCAGGTGAGCGAGAGGGCGCGCAGGGGCGCCGACCTCCAGCAGTGGAGGGTGAGGCAGGGGCAGTGCCGCCTGGGGACCCGCGGGGCCCGCACGCCCGCCGGCCTCTCCCCGGGACCCTGGGCGGACAGACCCTCCCGGGGACGTAAGGGAAAGGCCGGGCCTTCCCGCCGCGCGGCTGCGCGCGCGTCTCCGAGTCGGGGCAGCGGACCGGACGCCGGCTGTTCTGCAGCCGAGCGCAGGGCTCGCGGCCCCTCCCCCACCGCCCCTGCCCCGCTCCGTGACCACTTTGAAGCGTCAGGGGCCGCCGCACTTGGCACATTCCGAGTCCTCTGCCGCCGCCGTCGCCGCGGCCCAGCCGCAGAACTTGACCTTCCCGGACGGAAACCGCCCGCCTCCTGGTGGCTCCTCCGGCATCTTTTCATTCCGCCACGGGGGGGCGACAGAGAGCCACAGCTGCGGTGGCTGGGGCCGATCTGGGGGCGGCGGGAGCAATGCCCTCCCCAGGGCACACCCAGAAAAGCGAGGGGCTGGGCCGCGAACCAGCCGCGCCAGAATCTCACCCGAACGTGCCGGCCGATGAGGCAAAGGTCACTCTTAACTCAGCCCCCGGGCGAACGCCTTCACCCGCACCTGACGGCTCCCGGGCACTCACTACCCCTGGGGGCGACGGCAGGCACCCTGGTCGGTGGCCAGAAATCTCTGGGGCTGAAGTCTGCGTTCAGAGGGTGCTGCCCTCCCTTCCGCCAGGCGGCTGGGGCCACACTCGCCCCGGGGTGCGGGGGCTCAGGGTGTGACGGGGGAAACCGAGGCAGAGCGTGGAGAGGCCCTCGGCTCCCACGGGGGCCTAGGGGTGCTCGGTGCAGCTGGGGGCACTCGGGTGTCCCGCCACGTGTCCCAACCAGACGCCTCTCCTAGGGCCCCTGCCGGCAGGAGCTGCACAGCGTGCTGCAGACACTGGCCCGGGAGCGGCAGGAGGCCAGAGGCGGGCCCTACAAGTTTTACCTGCCCAACTGCAACAGGGACGGGTTCTATCACAGCAAACAGGTGCGTGTCCTTGCCGCCCGGCTCCCACCCCTGCACAGCCACCCTCCCCTGGCACACGGTGTCCACCCCGGGCCCGCTCGCTCTGAGAGCCCCACAGCTGGTCCTAGGAAGTGAGGTGCAGCCCTCGGGCTGCCGGAGCCCGGGCACACCTGGGCACACCTGGGCAGGTGGGGCTTGCGCAGGCCCCGCCCCCTCTGGATCTGAGCTTCTCACCTACCACCCGGCAGGAGGACACAGCTCTGCTTAGGACATTGAGTGTCTCTTTTGGCTTCTGTTACCTTTTGCTCCCCGCGAAGGGGAAGGGCTCTGTAATCAAACACAAGAGCATTTCCCGACTCGCCCGATTATGAACGAGATCGGACAAACCGAGACTGTGTGCGAGGGACCCTTGAGGCCTCAGGGAAGCTCAGGGTGTGACGGGGGAAACCGAGGCAGAGGCCAAGCTCCGTGACAAAGACTCTGTGGCCCCCGCAGCCCCTCCGGGGGGCCGGGGATCACGCTGATTCGCACACACGTGGAATCCTTAACAACTCACTGGACACTCGACCGTAGTGTCCATTTTACGAGGGGAACCCGCAGGGTGTTGGGTTTGCCGCGGCCACGGTCACGGCCAGTGGGTGGTGCCCGCTGTCCCCGCGGTGCTGGGCGGTGCTGGGCGGCGGGAGCGCCGCGTCCCCCGCCGCGCCGGCTGCCCTGACCCTGAGTGTCGCCCTCGCAGTGCCAGACGTCTCTCGACGGGGAGGCGGGGCTCTGCTGGTGTGTGGACCCCCAGAGCGGCAGGAGGATCCCGGGGTCCGTGGAGGTCAGAGGGGACCCCGGCTGCCAGCAGCATTTCCACTGAGAGCAGAAGCAGCGCGGCCTCGTCCTCCACGAGATACTGCAGCGCACAACCTATTTATCCTCCAGGAGACACCCGCTCGTCCGCGTGTTTGTATATATCGGAGCCACGTTCATACTCCACGTACCGCCTGGTGTCCAAAGCTGTGGTTTATTTATTCTCTGTAAGTTTATTTTTCTACACAGGAACTTGTGCTGTATTAATTTATATTCACGAGACACTTCTCGCCACGTCGTGTGTAAATAGTTGTATTTTAGCTCCTTGAAGGTCGTGCTTCTGTTGGTAGCGAACTGGGGAGACTCTGGCTGAGAAAATGCCGAGTCAGATGGGTGGCCGTGACCTTGTCCAGCCGTGCAGGGCTGCGTGCTGCACCAAAGCCGCTCGGGGCGAGCTGGCGGGGGCGGCCGGCGATGTGGTCACGGCGAGAGGATGCGCGATGTTGCCGCACGAGCATGTGCGTCGGGTGCATTGTCAGAGGCGCTTGCACAGTGTGACCAAATAAAGTCCTACTCAAACATTGCTACTGCCACAGACTTTTTCTTAAAAAAGACTTTATTTATTTATTTATTTTTAGAGGGAGGGGAAGGGAGGGAGAAAGAGAGGGAGAGAAACATCAATGTGTGGTTGCCTCTCACACGCCCCCTGCTGGGGACCTGGCCCGCAACCCAGGCACGTGCCCTGGCTGGGAATTGAACCTGCGACCCTTGGCTTCGCAGGCCGGCCCTCAGTCCACTGAGCCGCACCAGCCAGGCTGCCGTGGGCTTCTGTGCGCCCTCCTTCCTGCACGCAGATCTGCCTCACAGAGGTCACCCCGGGACCCACGGCTCCCCCTGCCCAGCGGCGTCCCTCACCCCCAGGCCGGGTGCCCCTGCCACCTCCCGCTGCCCTAACTTGTCCGTTCACCCAGTCCCTTCCACTTGTGGGTTGGGCAGGGTTCCTCCCGCCTGATGCAGGACAGGGCTCTCCCCAGTCGGCCCCCTCGCCCTCTGCCTGCCCCCTGCGGGGCTGAGGGGCCTCCCCTAGGCGGCACCCTGCGGGGCTGCCCCCCGAGTGCACAGCTGAGCCCTGAGCCCCCAGGCTCCCTCCTCCTTAAAGGGCTACCTGCCCACTTTTCCCAACTCAGCCCCTGCCCCGGGCTGTGGGGGTGGGGGTGGGACGCTGGAGCATCTCCGTTCTCACAGCCCCCGCCCCTCCCTGGCCTCCCCCTCCCCCTCCGACGGCTGGGCTGCCAGCCTCCCCCTGCCAACCCCCCAGGAGCTCCCTGCGAGCTCTGGGTTCCCCGTCAGGACACCTGGAGGGACCGGACACAGCACCCTCAGCATCTGCTGCGCGTGAACAGACTCCAGCACCCACGGGAACACGATTCACCTTCCCGGACGAGAAGTCTTGGACCCAGGACGATTGTGCCCTGTGCACTTTTGTCCCCCCGAGAATTCGCCCGTGTCACTAGCACCAGGGACACGGAGCAGTGGCTGGGGGTTCCGTTTTGCGGGGCATCTCGGCCCAAACGTCGGGTGCGCTGCCCCCTGGAGGCCGTGCCTGCCGGACGCACGGAGCCTGACCGAGGGAGAAGGCATCTCCCTAGACAATCACCAGAGAAGCCGCTTCGGGACGCCCCCGTCGCGGCCACCATGCGCCGACTGGCACGTGTGTGCCGACGGGCAGCCAAGCCCTGGAAGGCGGAGCGGAGGCCCCTGCCTGGCCTCGACCCAGTGCAGGGACAGTGCCCGGGACACGCAGTGGGGGGGGGTGACAGGTGCGCCCCAGGGGAGCGGGGGAGCCCTGAGCGTCCAGCTGGAGGCCCAGGGCGGGCGATGGGCCAGGGAGAGTCAGTCCCCAGGAGCCGAGTGGCCACGGCCGTGAGCCCACGGAGGCCGGTGTGAGGGGGGCACGTGGCGCGTGTCCGAGAAGGCAAGCGGGGGCTCTGCTCCAGCTCCTGCCTGGGTTCCCACGCTGGCGGGCCGCCCAGGAGGGCCCCCGTGGTCCCCTGGCTCCCGCTCCCCCTGCTGGTGTCCGCCCTCCTCTGGCCTCGCCGCTTTGCAGGCGACCCCCGCCCCCCCACCGCCCGCCCCCAGCCATAAGGACCCAACTTAGAGACTTTGTTGGGGGGGGGTAAACACGTGGGACTCTGTGAAAGGAAGGACGTCCTTCAATGCCCCAAGGTCACAGGGTCAGAGCCCCACCGGGTGCCCCGGGTTCTCCCTCCTCCCCCTGCCTCGTCCCTCCCGCAAGCACAGACTGCGGGGGGGGGGGGCACCAGTCTGCACCGTGCAGCCCTCTGCGCCTGTGAGGGGTGGCAGACGGGACAGTGGGGACACACCCGGACTGCAGCGAGGGCCTTGGAGATGCACCTGCTGATGTGCCCCCACCTGTCTGCCTGCCGATGGGCCGAGGTGCCCCCCCCTCAAAATGTGACCTGGCAGGGGCACGGGCCTGAATTTACTGGGAGGCTCCGCCCGGAAGGACATGGAGGGGGGACTTCTTCTCCGTAAAAACTTTATTAACCCATTATAAATACATGGTGACACAAATTTTTCAAAAATACTTTTTTTCTGAGAACGATGGAAAAAACAAAGGAAAGCTAACAGGTAGGCAGAATGTCTGGAGACCCCTCTGTCCACAGGAGGGCGCTGTGCGCGCCCCCAGCCCCCCAGGCCCCGCCCAGCACCTCCTGGGCCGTGACCAGCTCTCATCCGAGATTCTCAGCGGCTCGTTGGGGTCCCATTTTGTCGGGACCGCGGAGCCCACGCCGGTGACAGCTCACGAGGGCGCTTCTCCGAGGGCCAGGAGGGGCGTGGCGGCTCCGCGCGGCCCTCCGTGTCCGTCAGACGCAGCAGCCGCTGCCGGAGCCGCTCGGAGCCGAGGAGGACAGACGGGAGGGGGAGGGGCGCACACAGACCCCTCTGCCTCCAGGGAGCTCATCCCCAAAAGGAATCTCGGCCTGGACTTTCCGAGTGGGAACACCCTTTTCTGTCCCCCTCTCAGGCCTCGTGCTGCTAGTGGGCACCTCTGAAAATGCAGGGTGGTGCTTGCCGCCCCCCCCCCCGGCCGTCCCCCGCCGTCCCCCGCCCCGTGGGGCCACCAGCAAAGGCCGTGTCCTCAGGGGTCTGCCGGACGTACCCACCCCCGCAGGTGCCCCAGCTCCCGAGGACGCCCTTGGTCATTTTTAAGCGACGAGGACAGCCCCGCCCTGTTGCACCCACTCTTCCCCCAGCAGGACGGGCCCCCTGGGAACCGGGGGGACGCAGGGCTGTGCTCCGAGTGGGCGCACCCAGACGTGTGAGGACGCCGAGTGGGGGCTGCTGTCCCGGAGGCGCGCGGCCGCAGCAGCGGGGGGACGCTAAGGCGAGAGGCGAGGGCCGGCCACGGCAGCTGGCAGGGGGTCCAGGCGGCGTGGGGCCCGGCCACGAGGCACGCGCGTGTGCAAGCGGGTTCAGAGGAAGCAACGAGGAAGACCACACGGTTTCGTGGGCTGCTGTAGGGCGGGGGGGCCGCGCAAGGTCACCATGTAGAGCCCCAGGCAGGTCGGGCGTCTCTCTCTGAACTTGGATTAAAAAAACAAAAACAAAAACAAAAACTTTGATTCACCACGAACAGAAACACAAATCGAGGCTGTGGCCAGCAGCTGACTGTGTCCCAGGCAGTCTCTCGTGCCAACGAGGCGCATGGGGGCTCCACGCCAGCGGAAACAGACGGAGGAGGAGGCGCCGAGCCCCCTCCCCGGGCAGCCCACTGGCCCCGGGCACCCCGAGGCTGGTCGCTCTCTCTGGCTTGCAGGGAGAGAAATGTAACTGAAGGTGACATTTTCTTCTGTGTGCTGCATTTGCCTTGGGGAGGCGCAAGGAAACATATTGGGCTTTTCCCCACCAGTGGCTCTCTCTCTGGCTTAGGAAGACAGAATGGCGAGTGTGATGGCGTGCTTCGAGGGGAGGGTCTGAAATTTCACCGTTTGTGTTAGATTTAAATAAACTTTACTAACACCCTGCAAACCACAGAGGACCGGGTTATCCGTGAGGTGTTTTACAGGGAAAAAACACACATCCTTAATGCTGACACGTGCTCGTTAACAGGCCCCTGGGGGTTAAAAACGTTTCCTGGGAAGGGGAAGGACCATCAGGCTCACAGGGAGAAGCTGAACTCCGAGATCCCCCTGCCCCCCCTCCCCCAGTGTGCGTGCGTGTGTGTGTGTGTGTGCGTGCGTGTGTGTGTGTGACACGTTCTTGGTTCTCCGTGACGACGAGAAGCGTTCTGAGGCAGGTGGGCCCCAGACCCTCTTCCTGCTGTTGTTCAGTTGGGTTGGGGCCCCTCACCTTCTTGGGGGTCTGCCCTGAGTCTGTGTCCTGCCCGCAGCCCTGCCCCCTTGGAGAGGGGCAGCCGGGCAGACGCCCCGCCCCCGCCCCAGCCACCGGCCCCGCTCACCTGGCCGCGTCACTTGCTCTCGGCACTGTCACAGTGCACGTCCCCTTTGCCCTTGGTGCCGTAGCCCGGGAGGGGCTGCCCGTACTTGTCCACGCACCAGCAGAAGCCGCGCTTCCTGCCTTTGGAGGGGCGGCACTGCGGACCGAGCAGAGACGGCGGCGTGAGCCCCGCCCGGAGGCTCCCGCGTGGGGCCCTGACGCCTGACACCTGGGGAGGGGGGTCCGGGCCCCCGTGTGCGTTTGTGTGTGGGGGGGGAGTTGTGTCCCTCGGGGTCTCGGGTGGTCACGGGACCTGGGTGCTGAAGGGGGGATGACAGCGTCCCGCCTGCCCTGTGCTCGTCCCGGGTCTCAGTGTGAGTTGGCTGAGTAGTGACGGACGGAAAGCAGGTGTGACACGGAGGCCGGGGGCCCGTGGCCGCTGGGGAAGACGGGCCTGTGACAGGGGCCACCGTGTGCTGGTCTGTGGCCGATTCTGCAGACACTGAGACAGCACCGTCCGGCGAAAGCGCGGACACTTGTCGTTGTGACCTGCGGAGGGACTCGCTGTGGCCTCAAACACCTCCGCCTGCAGCGTGCGGCCCCGGCAGGGCCCGGGCGGCGGGGTGGGGGTCTCAGGGCAGCGGCACCCTCGAGTCACTCCGAGGGGCCGCCCCAGCACACGCAACGCCGCTCCCGACGCAGCGCTAGGCAGGTGCTGCTGGTGGGTGTCCCTTCCCGGATGACAGGGGGGACTCGGCGCTGCCTGGGGGCGGGGGAGGCGGGGCTGTGGCGGCTGCCCCTCTGCGGGGGGGGTGTGGGGAGGCCCACACATGCTCACCTGTTTCTTCTTGTAGAAGCCCTTCCGGTCGCAGTTGGGGATGTGCGCGCCCCGGGGACTCAGCGAGTTCAGGAACTTCAGCTGGCTCAGCGTGTCCTCCATCTCCCGGCGGCAGGGCCCCTGCGGGGGGGGCGCGCCAGTCACGTGGGGGCTCGGCCGCCTCATCAAGTCCCATCTGCCCACTGGCCCTCCTGGCGGGACCCTCAAGGCGCCCTTCCAGTGTCTGCTGCCGGACTCAGCTGCTGCCGCTGCCGCCCCCACGAGGGTGCCGACATGGCGCCATCTTTGGGGTGACCCCAGACAAGGCCAGGACACTCGGAGTCCCCGAGGCCAGGACACTCAGAGGCCAGGCAGACAGAAGGAGGCCCGTCTACGTGAATGTCGCTCTTTAGCCTGGAGGCCTGCGGCCGACCACCCACTGTTCCCCGCTGTGTCTGACCTGGGCCCCCCCACCTGCCCCCCGGGGGGAGGGGCAGTGTCAGGTCCTGTGTGGGAGGAGCGACGGCAGCGGCCCCGCCCCAGGCTGGGACGGGGCGCACCCACGGGCCCCGAGTGACGAGCGCCCCGGGGTCCCAGCGCGCTCCGGCACTCCCGCCCCCCCGCCCGCCGGACCCCGCGAGGACAGAGGCCGGCGCTCACGTGCTCGCTCTCCCGCTCGGACTCGGAGGAGAAGTTCTGGGCGTCCGTGCTCTGGGCCTCGTGGGCGGCCTTGTGGCGCTGGCTGTCTTTGGCGTGCCCCTTCTTGATGGCGTCCATCTTGGAGTGGCCGGGGTGCAGCTTGGGGTCGGGGGCCCGGTGTGTGCCCGGGAGCGCCGGGCTCCCCGCGGTCCCCGCTCCGCCGTCCTCCTCCGAGTCGCTGCCGTTTCCTGGGAAGACGCGGGGAGACACGGTTGACCGCGGACCTCTCCAGATCTCCAGATCCGAGGATCGAGCCGAGTGACGTCTCGGTGGGAGCATTACTCAGCAACCCCAAGCAGGTTCAAGAGAACACCCCGATGGAGTGTTACCCGTCACACCAGCAGCAGCAACGGCAGCGCCTTTCCCCGGAGACGCACCTTTCAGAAATGGTGCGTCTGGGACAAGCTTTGACTGAGCAGGTGCCTATGCAGCGGGCTGGTGTCCCCGCCTCCACCAGGAGGGGGCAGAGCTGAGCCCGGGCCAGCCGGTCCCGGCCCGCAGTGCTGGGCGAGTTGGGGGGGGGCCTGCGGGGGTTGGATTCTGACCCCCGAGCTGGACCCGGAGCGCCGCCAGGCCAAGGGCTCACTGTGCACCCTCTGCGCTTGGCTGCCCGTCTGGCCTCGGGAGGCGTGCTGGCTGGCGTCCAAGGTCCCGCCGTCTCGGTTCTCACTCACTGTCCCCCAGGGGCGCTGCTCCGACCCTGCGTCCTGGGGCACCTTCCCGGAGGGAGTCCCTCCCCACCACGGGGCCGGAGGGCAGGGACCGGCTCTGCTACGCTCGCACCCCCGAGGGCCACCTCCTGCCGCCCCTCCCCGCGCAGTCTGGTAGCTGGAGGGCCCCGCGGACGGGCCGGTTTGGGTGTGGGGTTGTCCCTTTCCGGGGTGAACTGGGGACGGCGGAGGGACAGGGGCCCGCGGGTGGGGGTCCGCCCTCTCGCCTGGTCCGCACAACCGCCCAGGCAGCGGCCGTGTGGTCACTGCACTCCGACAAGCGGCGACCCCGTGCCCCCGGGCCCTTTGGTCCTGAACCTGCTCTGCCTGGGGGGCCAGCGCCCGCCCGGAGGCGGACCGCCAGCGCCGCGAAGCGCGCCCCCGCCTCTGGTGCCGGGCTCCCGGGAGCAGCGCCGCGCCCGGGCCGCGCCCCGGGGCCGCGGGGAGCGCGGTGTGGGGGGGACCTTGGGGAGCCCCTCCGCTTTGGGTCTCCGTGTCCCCACCCGGGAAGCGGCCCCGCGAGGGGGGACTTGCACCCTCCCCGGGGCCTGGTGCGGGGGAGGCTCAGCGCCCCCGGAACACGCTCTGAACTGGCGGGATCTGGTTTCAGTTTCCCTGAATCTTCGTTTCTTTTCCGTCTCCAGGGAACTCCTGGGGGCCAGGAGATGCTGTGAATATGTAAATCAGCACATTTGCCTCTCTTTCCCGCGCACGCTGAGCAGTTCCTTAAACGTCCCCGTTCCTTTCCAACGCCCGAGCATTTAGGGCTGAAGAGGAAATCGTTCCTTTTAAGCAGCAACTGTAACTTTTGTGTCGCTTAAACTTACCTCCCCCACCCGACACGGGGTTTAGAAGTCACTCTCTCTCTCTCTCTAGGTTTGTTAGTAAGCCACGCGCATCCACGCCAGTAACCAACACGCCCGCTAGCGCCAGTAACACAGACAATGTTTACGGGGCCTCTCGGACCACTCTCTGACTGTCCGGGGCCGCGCGGGAGCAGCGGGGCGCGCACGGGCCCAGGGGTTGCCCTCCGGGGGGCGGGGACAGACCTCCGCAGCTGGGGTTTGTTTTCCTGCCAGCCCCGGAACAGCGGGCTCTCGGGGAGAAACAGGGGCGGCGCCCCCTAGGACGGCCCCCCGCCCCCCAGTGGAAATCCCCTCCCCCGGGAGGCGGAGGCTTGCGCGCTCCGCCCGGCCGGTGGCGGAGGTGGGGGCGCGGCTCCCCGGCCTTCAGTACCGGGGGCGGCACGCACGGCGCCGAGCGAGGCTGGCTGAGCCGCTGGACATCCGGAGGATCGGCCGGGGACTCCACCAAACTTCTCACCCCAGGGCCCGCCGCGCCGCCGTTCGCCCGCCCCGCGGCCTCCGCCTCCGGCGCCCTTAACGGGGCGCGTCCCTTCGGTTGCGGAGGGCGGCAACAAACAGCCCGCGGCGCGTCCACCTGCCTTCCTTTCACCCAAGTCCGCGGGCCCACACTGCCCGCGCGCCGCCCCGGCTCCTGGCGTCTCCCTGAGGCGCCACACAGGCTGCCGGCAGGGGGTGTGGAAGGGGGGATGGGAATGGTGGTAACTGGGGTTCAGCCCCCACCCCCCTCCTCCTGGCCTCCGGGGGGCCTTGGAGAGCTGCTTCTTTCTGAAGGTCAGGGTGTCCAGCCGCAAACACACTCACACTGGTCCCCACGCGGCTCACGTCGGACACGGGGCGGGGGGGGGGGAGACACGGCTTTGCAAACCGTCAGTCCGTGCAAACGGGACTGTTTGTGAACACAGGTGCTATTTCCTACGGCGGGCCTGCCCGTCCTCCGCTTCCACAACCGGCCCCATCGCCTCCCCGCACCCCGACCCCCAGATCCTCGCTGTGGACACGCTCGGTCCGAGTGCGCGGGAAGCGAAGCGCGTTCCGGAGCCCAGAGCGGAGTCCACGCCCACACCCCCGCGCTGCGCGAGCTCCCGGGCGGGAGTCTCCTCTGTCCACGATCCTCCCGTTGCCCACCAACCTCGGTATCCGCTCCTTCCCTCCCTACAAAACCTTTGACCCATTCTCGCCGAAAGCGCTTTGCGATTTACAAGCGCTCCGCACCCAGAGAACGGACAGGCTGCGAAGGGTCCCCCCCCCCACCCCCCGAGAGCGCACTCGCCTCGTGAGACTTCAGTTTCCCCAGGTCCGACCCTTGGGGCGGGGACAGCAGCGAAATCTTCGGGGCGACACTGCCCATCCCGGATCGGTGGCTGAGGGCTCCGCCCTCTGGGCGCTGAGGCGACGCACCTGGCACAGGTGGCTTACCTGGCGCGGGTAGCAGATAGGCGCTCAGGCGGCCTGCGGCGCTGGTGTTGGTGCAGACTCCGCGGCCGTCCAGCAGCGCCTGCAGCGGGCGCGGCTCGCCGGGCTGCGGATGGCAGCGGAGGCCGGCTCCGCAGCGCTCGGTGTAGATGCCGCACGGCTGGCCCTCGAGCAGCGCGCACGTCAGGCAGCAGCCGCAGCCCGGCTCGCGCACCAGCTCGGCGCAGTCGGGCGCGGGAGGCGGGGGCGCGCACTGGGCCAAAGCGCGCGCGTCGCAAGGCTCGCAGCGCACCACGGGGCCGGAGCCCACCGAGGCCGCCCGCACCCGCGCCGCGGGCGCCACTCCGAGCAGCGCCAGAGCCGTCAGAGTCGCGGCCAAGACTGCGGGTCGCATCAGCGCCATGGTGCCCACTGCGGGGGTCCGCTGCTCAGCCAGCCGGGGCTCGGGGGGACCGGGCGACTGCGTGCGGCGCGAGGCTGCGGGAGCAGAGCAGGAATAGGAGCAGGAAGCAGAGCAAGCAGGCAGCGGCCCGTCCTAAATGCCACACCACGGGGTTCGCATCTGGGCCGCTCGGGCGCGCCCGCCGCTATATAGAAGCCGAAGTGGTCGAGGACACGCCCCGGAACCGCGCGCCGGGGGTGGGGGGAGACCAGGCAGGCGGCGCTGGCGAGGCTCCGGGGTCGTGTATCTCGCTCGGGGCGGGCGGAGCACGGGGGTGCGCAGCGCGTGGCCTACGGAGCTCTGGCCCCCAGGTGCACGCCCGGAGCCCCGCCGCCGCGCGGTCTCCAGGACCCCGGCGCTCCCCGTCACCCACTGACCCTGGTGCCTCCGGCCCCCTCGGCGCCCCCGCCCGGCCCCGGCCAACCTGGAGTCTCCGCCGCCCTTCTCGGCCTTTGTCCCCAGGGCAGGGCGCCGCAGCGAACCTCTGCAGGGGACGCGGACCTGCGCCAACTCTCACCCGTGTGCGCTTCGCAAAGCTTCCAAAACTCAAGTCCTGGGGTCGGGGGTTCGCGGGGCGGGTTTGAATGGGCAGCCGAGGACGCGGAGTTTTCGCAGCACCCGCCGGGCCACCTGCCCGCCCGCCCCCCCCCCCCCGGCCCCAATCTGGCGCTGCACAAGCGCGTCTGCAGGTGCGCAGGTGGCTTCGCCGACCCAGGGTCGCTCCTCAGAGCGGCGAAGGCTCCCCCTTGGCCGTCTACGACCAGTTTCCAGTGGGCAGCGCGGGCCAGCGTGCAACGGCTCCCGGGCCGGGCTTGCCAAAGGTTTGACCTGCTTCAGGTATACTCCCTGATGACCCTTCACACGGAGCTTGTCTCCACAGCAAGAGGACAGTAAAACGACAAAGCGGGCGCTGCCGAAGGGTCCTTAATAACCAAGAGTCCTCGACACTGGGGATTTGCGCTCACATTCCCCCCGACCACTCAGTATCCCTGCGCCGAGTTCCGGTTCCCCACTGCGCGCGTCTGAACGCTGCGCCAGGGTGCAAGTCCCCGCGCGGTTCGCCCCCGAGGTGGGGCGCACCCAAGCCCCCCTGCTCCGCGCAGGGCTTTTCGGTCTTGCCCGCGCGCCCCTGCTCCGGGGGGCCGACAGAGGACGCTCGTGGTCCAGGATCGAACTGGGAATTACGGATCAGCCCCCCGACCCGGTGGGACGACGGGGGAACGGACCTCCCTGCACGCAGTGGAAATGGGACTGTTGCCCGAGGCGGTGCACGGGTGTCTCGGAAAAGCCTCTTGCAGTTCGCGGCAGAAACTGCAGACCAGGGTCCCCTCGCGTCCCCCCTCCGCCCCGCGAGCCCACTAGCGGCCGTGGGTGCAGCTGGGGGGCAGCTCATCACCACCTCTCCTCTGTGCGTGCGCGCATGCCCCGCCCCTTAGACTCCAAGACCAGCGTGCTCAGAGCAGATACACAAACAATGCGTAAAACTGTAGTAACAGCCGAGGCTCCACAGAGAATAGGGGAGCGGAGACGGAGACGGAGGGGCTGCGCCCCGCGCACAGAGGGCAGCCCAACCCTCCCCGGGAGCCCCGGCGCCGGGCCAGGCGCCCCTGTCCATCCGGGGCGCGCCACGGGCGCCCTGGCCGCGCCCCTCTGCCCTCACCCTCCGCGTAGCTGGGTGCTATCCGCTTTGGCAGCCAGGAACGGGGTCTCCGATTTCATTGGGAAATTAAGGGAAACAAGAAGTGCCCAGGGTCACATTTATTCCTGAAATAACCGCGGAGACTTGACTCTGAAATCAGAGCCTCCGGGCCGTCCTGACAGACCCCCGAGGCCCCAGGCCCGCTTCTGTTCAGGGCGGGGCGGCACACGGGCCGGGCCGGTCGCCGGTCCCCGGTCGGTGCGGCCCCTTCTCCCGGAGTGGCCATCGGAGCAGTGGGCAGGGGAACCCGGAGGAAAGTTATCAAAGTCCTCCCTTGGGTCCCGCTTCTCAGCCCCCAGTCGGGGCCTCGCGGTGCGCGACGAGGCGCGAGGCGCGCTCCAGCCCCTAGGCGGCGCCCACGAGCCAGGCCCCGCCCGACCGGGGAGACCCGGGGAACCTGCGGGTTACACTGTAACGCTCAGGGATATTGTCTAGCTGCGTGTTTGTTGTATAGACTGTCACCGCCTTTTTTGGTGAAATCCTGCAACAGCGGGGGAACGCTGGGGCAGTGTTGTGGGCAGAATTGTGCTTCAATATTTAGTCACTTTTTTGGACAAAACTGCCGGGAAAGAGCCAGGGAAGGTCGTGACTGCGGGGGGACTCGGGTGGGACAAACTCAGCTCCGTGAGAGGCTCGTTAACGAGCAGGCAGAGTCCTGATTCACCCGGCGTCCGTGGGCGGGTGTTAGCATGAGCTGGAGTGGGAAGGGTGTCTTCCCCTGTGGAACACTCTGGGTGTACAACTGCTTAGTCACACCGCGTGACACACACAGAGTAAGTGCCCCTCGCCCCGCGTGGGGGGCGGAGTCTCAGGAGCGCTGCCCCGCTGAGGGAACACCGAGGAAGCCGCCCCCCCACGCCCGCCCCCCCATGCAGAGAACGCCAGCTTCTCCTAAAACGCATCTTCACGACGTCCCAAATCTCCCCCTTGGAGGAAGCTCTCTCGTCTTCAGGATACGAGCTGAAGACACTCGCTGATACCTGGCATCTCATAACATAAAAACGTGTCCGGTGCCAAGGAACTCGGAAGTCCACTGTGCTGAGACAGATCACAACCCAGCAAGAAAATCTTAAGAACTGTTTGTCTCAGCTTCTTCAGTAACGGAGTTCAGTCGGGACATTAAACAGCACAAATGGAAGTCTGTTGTTATTTAATATTATTTAACCCCCAAAAAACCCCCAACAACCACCACCCTGCCCTCCCTATTAAGTGATGATTTGAATATTCATCCTCTTCAAAGAGCTTTTGTCTTCGGGAAAAATAACAGCCAAATGCAGCACTGCCCCAACTTCGTGATTATTTTGCTTCAGATCCGAATCCTGGGCCCCCACCCCCCGGCCCTCCACCAGAGCCCCCCTCCGTGGAGGGGCGGCCCCAACACGGGTTCCTGGTGGCCTCTCGGGAGCCGCGAGGCAGGGCAGGCGTGTGGCTGCGTGCAAGTTGCGCAGGAAGCCTGGTGGTCCTCCTGGACCCCAGGGTCCGCCCGCCACGGGCCTGGGAGAAGCTGCCGGGTGGGTCCCAGTCACTTCCCCGGGTTCTGCGGAGGTGCGAGGCCTCCCGCCCACCTCCTTGCAGGTGACAGAACTGCCTCCTTGCAAGGCGTCCCCTCCCTGGGTCACAGGGACGTGGGGGCCAGCAGCTTCGGCCCCTCTTCCTGTCCAGACCGCAGGGCACCTGATGTTTCTCCGCCTGCAGAGTCAGCCGGGTCACACCTGCCTCATGCTCAGCCCAGCCATCTCCACTCCCCTCCCCCCCCGCCCCCCCCACCCCAGAAAACGAGGGGCTGCGATCAGGGCGGGCATCAGTGGTGCAGCCGCCCCCCCCCCCCGGGCCCCGGAGGCAACAGCCCAGGAGAGGGCGGGTCCTGAAAACCAAGTCGGAGCCTGTGTCTACTCTTCCGTGCTCTGTGGAGACCACCCTCGTTGTGGTCTGAGGAATCCCAGGCCTCAGCACTCCGGACCTTCCGTTCCCGAGGTCCAGGGTCGAAGTCCGTCCCAGGACAGCAGCCTGGGCACAGGCAGGGTCCCCTGGAGCCTGGGACGCAGCCAGCAGAGCCTGGTCAGCAGCGGGACAGAGGCACGGCCTGGCCCCCCGGACGCAGCAGCTGCTGCTGCGTCCGCTGGCAGGAGGTGCAGAGTCCCCACGGCTTCTGGTTTTGTCTGGTTTGAGAGGCGCCTGTGCTCTGGTGCGCCCCCGAGGGCCCGCTGCCCCATTAGGGCGAGCGCCCACCTGCAGGCCCGGCTGGGTGACTGTGAGCGGGGTCACGGGGAACAGGGGTGTCCTCAGGAGAGGGCAGCGCGCTGCAGCGGCCCCGCCCCCCAGGCCCCTCCAGGGCACAGGCTGCCACACTCACCCGGGGTTCTGCGTCGCCAGGAACGTCGAGGTCAGATCCCCTGGCAGACCCCCCCCCAGCCTCCAGGGGCTCCGGGGCCCCGAGAGTGCGCCCACAGGCCTTCGCTCTGCCTTTCTTTGGGGGTCTCCAGGGCACGGAGGCCCCCCCAGAACACGCAGCTCCAGCTCCACGATCGGGACTTCCAGCCGCGCGGTGGGGCCGGCAGCACGGCTCTGGGAAGGTGTCTCCTTCTCGCCGTGTCCTGGCCCGCGTGTTAGGGAGACTTGTCAGCCAGCCGCATGGTGGCCAGTACGGGGTGGCCGTGGGCGCCAGGGCAGTGCGCCACAGGCGAGGGGTGACTTTGAGTGGGCGCCGGCCCTCCGAGGTCTGCCTTTCCGGGAGGTGACCTCAGGGCCTGTCTGGAGTACCTGGTTGCAGCGCGGGCGCCAGCCTCTTGCTCCGGAGCCCAGACACGTCACTTCCTGCTCCCACCTGCAGGCGGCGCCCCGGCTGCACACGGAGGGGGCGAGGCCCCCCGGGGACCCGGAGTGCACGGGAGACTCCGCGCGCCTCCGTCCTGGGCTGGGCGGTGCCCCTCCTGCCGGAAGCGGAAACGGGCACGTCCCCCCTGCGGGGGGGCGGTGGGGGGCCCTGAGCGTGGAGCGCGGGGTGGCGGTCTCTGCTCCCTTGGAGAGCGCGCACTCACATGGACGCTTGTAAGGGCGGCTCAGGCGCGGAGGCCGGGCGGCCCCAGGGGCTGCCCTTGCGCCGCTGCCCCCAGGACGCTGCCGCCGCTGCCGTTCCGCGTCCCGGGAGTCCGAGGGCCCGTGCGCAGGCGGCAGCCGGGGCGGAGGGCTGGGCCGGGGGCCGAGGGCAGGGGAGCTGTGCCCCAGCTCCAGCAGCCGGGCAGGGGTGGGCGCAGCCTCCGGGTCGTTCCGTGCCGTTCGGGGCCTCGCTGCACTGGACACCGTCCCCCCCCCCTCTGGGGAGGGCCGCCCCCCCCCCTCAGCCCACCAACTCTGACGCGGCCCAGAAACACCCTCCCAGACACCCCGGGATGGCGTGCTGCCAG